TCTCGTCGATGGTGTTCATCCTCTACCAGCAATGATCGTCTCGACTGGAGGTTAGTTCTTTTTATCAAATATTTTTTCACATGTCAAAATCTAATTTTTCCAATTAAATTTTCTTCATTTAGACGACTCAAAGGAATTGATGCAACAGTATGTACTGTTTTGTGATAAAATGAAGAAATTCAAGATTCCAAATTTGTCAAGAAAAATTGAGAATTGGATTAAATTGGATTCAATAGCTGTCGAAGGAGCTGATGATGAAAATACTCTTCATGCCGTGAATAAAATTGATTTTGATGCGTTCATCAAAAGAACAAGTGTTCTGAGACGAAGAGAAAAGGCTTCTTTATCATCATCGACAACAAAATCTTTCGAAGTTGTAGATTTAGAATTGGAAAAGGATACACCAGATATCAATTTACCATCAACAAGCAAGCTTCTCACCGCTGCCGAAATCAAAAAGGAGAAGATTGACGTTATAGATACTATATCTTCGGAACAAACTGACAAAACCTCAGATTTAAACAAAAAGATTGAATTAGTAATCGAAAAGTTCAACGCATTGAGAGATTGTTTCAATGCAACATCAACTCTTGCTGACTCGCGCGAGCTCTTTGCTAATTTGATACCTCTTTGTGAATCTATGATCGAGGTTATTTGTTTGGTGAAATGCACCAATGATTCAATGATCGGAAGTGATTCGATAAAGGTACCTCAACATGTGTTGAATAATACAAGAATTATTAGTGACGACAAGACCTACGAGGATAACAATATCACTTTGATGGAAGGAGTTTTACCGATTTCCACGTTCAAATATAAAAAAGCCTGTAGATCATTTACAAGAAAGTTAGAAGATCGGAAACCTACAGCTGTGCTTACGAATATTGTCAAACATTGTTTCCCGAACCATTGGATAAATGATGTTACTCTCCGTGGATCAAATGGTAGAACCTCATTAATTAGTATTTGGAACCACAGAAATCCTTTATCTGCAACAGCAAAAGGTCCAATAATTCAAGGTTTGGGTGAAAATAGATTGAAAGCTCTCATAGGTAAGTTAGAATTTATATCTTAATGGATAAAATGATGAGATTATTTTCGAAATTTTTTAAGATCATACTATGAGAAAATGTGGCCGAACGAGTTATGACGACTCCACTGATAAATTACTACAAAATACGATTTCAAAGGCCATTCAATATATGAGAACCAAGATCGCAGCATCTCAAGCTAATAGAGGAAAAAAAGCAATATCCGATGAAAGTGGAGATGATAATCAAGACGATGATTGGGAAGAAAGTGAAAATGAAGCAGAAAAGGACCAAGATTATGTTATACCTTCCAAACTCAGACGAAAAGAATTAAATCAAGAATCAGATAACGAAGATTCTGCTCATGATAAAGCTCGAAAAGGTGCTAATATTCCTTATTTCAGAGGTGGGAAAACTAAACCAATCGAAGATGTGTTTCAACAGAAACGAAAGTCAGTTTTCACAACCTCAACACCAGTTACGAGCCCTGCGATATCAAGTCATATATCCAGTGAATCAGGATTCGTTGAATCATTGGACATGAGCCCAAAAGTTATAGTCGAAAGGATAGAACATCCATCATCAATGTCAGCCTTACTCAGCCTTCCAAAAGAGAAAAACGTTTCTGAAGATGCACATGAGAAAGAAGATCCTTTCAGAGTCGAAAAGAAAAAAGGTCTTGATGATTCTCTTGATCGCGATCCGTTGGCTGATTCATCTGGCGATGAATCATTCGAAGATGCTGAACAGAACAATGAATCTTTTGTTGAGCCTCAAATTGCCAACGATGCTTCAAAAAAGAAACCAGATAATTGTGAAAAAGATCAAGAGCTCAAGGACGCAGATAGAGAAATTGTTTACAATGAAGGCTCAACCACTGATATAAATTCAGAGATAAATTCGGATATCGGAGCTAAATCACCTGATGGACATGATTTGAAAGAAGATGATATCCATAATACAAGTTTGGATACTTCTATTGGTCCTCCTGCATCAGTCTCAGAGCATAGTGTTGACAAAGTTGTCTCTTCTAATAGAGATGATTCAGAAATTCTGACCCAGAGATATGATCCAAGTTCATTTATCAATGACAAAGGTGAATCAGAGACAAAAGAACCCAGTGAGGAAGACAAAAAGATGCTAGAAGTTCTGTCAGCTAAATATGGAGATAAAGTTATGATGATGTTTGAAAAAAAGTTTAAATGAAGTAAGATTCCCCTTTTTTCAATTTCCATTTAAATTGACCAAACAAAATCAAGGATAATTTTTTTTGTAAACAAACAACAACAGGTAAAATTCTCAAGGGAAACTAAACCTCTTTGCTCTAACAATTAGGCAATTCAAACTAACCATTTTCAGCCAATCAAAAGATTCAAGATTTATTTACTCACAATTAACTGAAAATTATTAACCAAAGAACCAATTATTTTTGTTGCTTAAGGACAACGTTTCAATTTTTCCAATAAAGGTTCATCCATTTTGCAATTTAGTTCAGTTTAGTTTCATTTCTTTTGAAAGATCTTTTCTCCTCTTATTTTTGATTCAATTTCAATCATGTCATCAAGTGCTAATAATGTTAAACGTAAACGTACAAAAGATTCTGGAAGTGTTTTTGACAATGTGAGAAGCTTTTCACTACCCATTGTAAACAAGATTTTTGGTACCAAGGATCCAAGTTCATCTGTTACTATCTCTGATGCTTCACCTTCACGAGACAATCATCTAAATAGTGTGTTAAGTTCAAATGAAAATCATTATGGAGATAGGAAAAAGCCAAAAAAAACATCGAAAAATACCGAAATATGTGAAAATGGAAAGAAAAGTTTATCTCAAGATCCATCGCCCGACGTTATTGATTCTGATTCATCAAAAAAAAACGAAAACGGTGAATTGTTAGCTGTGCTGCTTCCACTTATTCTTGATAAAGACTATTCACCATATAAACAGCCGATAATTGTTAAGCTCAAAGAGAAAGAGCTCTTAGATTTTGGATTCAAGTTACCGTTCAATAAATACATGGATCCAAAATCAAACTATTTCGAGATAGAGTTCAATGGTTTGGCTTTAATTGCTCAAATTTTAGCGATAGCGGGTAAGTTCAGACACTTATAGCTCTCATCTAGATTTCTAACATAAATTATCTTATTTCTATAGATTCGAGAGCAAGTTTAAAGCTGATTTTCAGAAAAAATGTGAAATCTAATCCTCTTTGGGCTAATCTACTCAAAACTAAAACTTTTTGTGATGAGAAGATATTGATAAAACATATTCCCCTCAAGAAAGATGATGATATACCAAATCAACAAGTTCTTGGACCCAATGCCTTGTCATTTCTTTTCAGTGATCAGAATATCGAAAATATTGAAGAAAAAGAGATAATTTCGGACTCTCCAGCAAATGATAAAAAGAAAAGTGACTACTCAGCTAACGAGAAGGTTGTCCAATCTAAGCCTGATCAGAAGTTCTAGTTTCAAATATACACGATGATAGAAAATTGATTCTTCATTGTTTGATCAGCTTTTACACGATTTTGATAATCATGTTAAAGATCTGGACAAAAAGAAAGCAGTTCTATCTGAACTTGATACTTCAGGTTCAATTTTGTTGACCGTGATTGATTCGTTAAAAGATCTTAATAAGATAATTAATGAAAAAAATCGTAAAGAAATTGAATCATCAAATCAAGTTCCTCAACTCGATCAAACCTACAAAATCAAATCCAAGGTATATTTAACACTCAATAATTATGTGCTTAAACATTAATTTTTCAATTTGTACTGTTTCAGAATCTAATATTTATTGAAGGTTTGATACAATTAGATTTGGATCGATATAAGTTCGCGCTGAAAAATACCAAAGCTGGTAATCCAAGCGCTTTTGCTTACCAAATAATAAGATTCTGTTTCCCTGAGTCTTATTACCAAGATGTTACTTTAGGGAAGAAAATGATAACTAAAGCTGAACTTGAAAGCTACCTTGAACAGCCAGAAAGCGGAGAGAGAAAAAACAAATTTCCTCTTTCTTTCATCTGGGGTTTCAAGGATCCTTACTCGGAAAGGATGAAAGGGTTATTTGACTATAGACTGGGGCAAAAAAGAGTTCAAGCATTTATAAGTAAGAAATTATACACTAGATTAAAAAAATACAATTCTCGCTTATTAATTTCTAATATTTTACTTCACAAGATCATTTATTCAGGAAATCGGAGATCTTACGGTATTCTGAAGATCTAGAAAAGAAAGTTCGTTGTAGAATCATCAAGGAACTTTGTGCACGTAACCAAGATCTGATTCGCAAATCTAAAGATCAAGCATCTAATGACGACGATCAAGAATCCGAATTTGAGGAAAAAGATCAAGAAAAAAACGACCCATTGATCGACGATCCATTGATTGAGAGCTCAGACGGTGATACTGGAACTAATGAAGAATCAGATCATGATTTCTAGATTCTAAAGTTATTGTTAATTCTCAGAAAAAAATACATTGATACATTTAAATTTGATTATAAAAGAATAAAATTGACACTTTTCTGATTAATAAATGAATCAAAAATTATTTGTCAAAATTGAATCAAAGACCATTCAAAAATGTTCAAAATTGATTCAAAAACGTTCAAAAAATTTTGATTCAACTAAGCGTCAATTTGTCCGAAACAACTCGTTTTTTGAGTCTCTTTGGATTCAAAACTGTTGATTGGGTGTGGATTGGGCGATGAAGCAAAACATTACAATGACCTTGGTAAACATGTTGATGTCGACAAATGTTGTCGAGCTCACGACCACTGTCCCATCAGAATGCGAGCTTTTAGATATGGTTATGGAACAATCAACTTTTCCTTGTACACAAGATCTCATTGTCGATGTGATGAAGCTTTTTTCAATTGTTTGAAGTCAACAAAATCAGATCTTGGTGATTTAATTGGAAACTTTTATTTCAACATCATGCAAACTTGTTGTATCGACGATGCTCATCCGTGTGAGTCCATATTTGATCCCATCCCAAAAGTTTCTTTTTTTTCGTCTAAAAATTTTTGTTCTTTTCTCAACGGGAATGTCCAAGCGCCGATTGTGTACATCAAAGAGATACTAATTACATCGATTCCCATTTGAATCCAACTAAAAACGGGAACAATTTTGGATCCATCGATTTCCATCCAATTAACTGCTGATTCACCGATGTTACACTTGATTCTTTCGGCGAGAAATAAAAGCTCAACATCAAAGGCCCATTTCTCAACGTGCATATGGTTGAAAAGAACACGGGCCACATTTCGTCCGAACATTTTAAAGCCACATTGAGTATCTTCGATGGATCGAACAGTAAAAAACCAGACAACAAAATGGAAACCAAGCATCAAAATTGTTCTAAAAATGGATCTGGTGGCCATTGATTCCTTCTCCAAATGAGCTCTTGATCCAATTGCAATGGAATTCATTAAATCTTTCTCATTGCCAGTTGACTGGTACAGATAATTTTCCAACTTTTCGATATCCGCAAATTTAGTTGCTCCATCAGCATCAGCGAATAGAATTAACTTCCCTCTGGCAGATAGAACACCCAAACGAACAGCTCAACTCTTACCATTACCTACCTTACCGATTTTTACACACCTTGAGAACTCGAAGAATCTTATCAGTTCCGTACTTTAGTGAATATTCAAAAGAAACATTTTGCCTAAACTAGATTATAGTTGGTTAAACAAGATTATCATCGTCGCTGAGGCTGAAGCTGCTCGAGAAGCTCGTGCTAAGGTTATCGCCGCTGAAGGAGAGCAAAAAGCTTCACGGGCTCTTAAAGAAGCTGCTGATGTTATTACCGATTCACCTGCTGCTTTACAACTTCGTTACTTGCAAACTCTTTCATCAATCGCTGCGGAGAAAAATTCAACAATCGTGTTCCCAATTCCAATGGAATTGTTCAAAGGACATATAACAATGTGATCAGTCTCTTAAATTCTGCGTTTTAATACATCACAAAAATTTACACAAATTATACACACATGATCACAGATTAATTTAAAAAAGAGTAAAATCCAATTTGGTATATAAGGAAACGGAAATGTTGAGGTAACCAAAGTTTAGTTAATATTTTAATCTGTTTCGTACAAAGATTGTCCTTGGCATTGATTTGGGTCGATCACGGAATAGTAATCCATCTTTACAAATGGGATCAAATATGGACTCACATGGATGAGCATCGTCGATACAACAAGTTTGCATGATGTTGAAATAAAAGTTTCCAATTAAATCACCAAGATCTGATTTTGTTGACTTCAGACAATTGAAAAAAGCTTCATCACAACGACAATGAGATCTTGTGTACAAGGAAAAGTTGATTGTTCCATAACCATATCTAAAAGCTCGCATTCTGATGGGACAGTGGTCGTGAGCTCGACAACATTTGTCGACATCAACATGTTTACCAAGGTCATTGTAATGTTTTGCTTCATCGCCCAATCCACACCATTTAGTACCTGGAATGATTCCTCTCCAAAGAGATTGGCTACAATTGACCGTGGATGCGGAAATGAAAACAATCAAAATGATCAACAGATTCATAGCATAAAACAATGAGAAAAAAGTAACATATAAAATAAAACACCGAATGAAGATCAAGTGAATACTGAAAAGTTTCCAATGGCAGGTAGACGTATTAATCCATTCTCGACGACGCTTCAGGTTAATCTGAATGGACAGAATTTTGGTTTGATTTTTCTTCTCTATTCTTTTTTAAGAAAAACAGATTAAGCTAATCTATTCTGACTTTTAATCCCAAAACCCGTTTTCTGGTTCTCTAGTTGATAATAAGAAAAGATAATTGCAAATAGTAAGTTATATTCACTTTGAAAAGAGAAAATTATAATTTTTTTTCAAAAGGTAAATTTTTCATTCATGAAATATAATTTTAAACAAAAATTTCTACTCGTTTTCACTCCCTGATAATAATATAAATCTAACTTGAGCATTGAAGCTTGAACTTTTATATATCAGGCTGAATATTATTTTCACATTAATATTATCTTGATAATATTATTATGATATAAATATGTTGGTGAAAATGATGAAAAGTTTGATATAATTTTGTTGTTACAAAGAAAAGAAAGAAAGAAAGAAAGAAAGAGAGAGAGAGAGAGAGAGAGAGAGAGAGAGAGGTGAGAAGGAAGATGAAGAGATGATGATGATAGTGGAAAGAGACAGAGGGTGGGTAAGAATGATGAAGATTGCGTGAGCTTTTTTGTTGGATGAGTCAGTAAGAGCCTTGAGTGAGCTGTTATTAGTATAGGGAGAATAGTGGAAACCGGGGAGTGATATTGTTCATGTGCTCAGTTATCATTGAGACTTCACTTGAGTCACAATGTAATAAAAATCTTCTGTGTATCTAGTTGATCAACAGAATTACAGTTCATCAAGATAACTATTGGAATAATAATAAAAATGTGATTTTCTTCAGAGAATATTAATTTTTCAATTGGTTAATTGTGATTCTCATGAATTTTTTTGTACAAAATTTGATTAACTGAGTTTGGATCTCCCTTTTTAACTGAGATGGAGTTAAAAGTGTTCATCATTAGTGTTTGGATAGCAACTTTTTTCCAACTAAAATGTTTCGCTAATCAGTTTATTAATCATATTGATCTCAATCCTAATCAACATGATGATAATCAATTTAAAGTTGATGCTAACAATTATCATCAACCCTACCCCTTTTCTTATCCGGCTTCTAATGAGGAGCGACTTTTTGAAACACCTCCAGGTAAGAAACTTTTTTGCTCTTAATTAATTGTTATAATTAAGTTTAAAATCAAACTCAGTCAGTAGTTTCATTAAAATACTCTGATAAATGTGATGATACTGACGCCGATTAATCAAGTTAAGTGTTGAATGGTTGAGATAATCCTCTTGTCTTACTAAATGAAAATAAGTTTCATGATGAAAACTCAGTTGATTGATTAAAATTTACACCAAAGTGACTGATTTTGAATGGAATCATTTTCTTTTTTTTCTTATTCTCTCTCCAATAATCATAATTCGATTGAGAAAATCAATCAATTCCATCATGATAGATATCATTTTCTCCTTCTCTTTTTTTTCTGAGTATCATTTCATTTTCAAGGTTAATATTACACATTATTCTTGATTAATCTTAAAGATGAAATATGAATCTTCATGGTGATGAAAGTAAGTCAGAGAGAGAGAGAGAAAGAGAGAGAGAGAGAGAGAGAGAGAGAGAGAGAGAGAGAGAGAGAGAGAGAGAGAAAGGAAAGAAAAATAATAAAAGAAAAGTAGGTTTCAAATAACAGTAATCATCATATTGATATAATATAACTTTCATTGGGAGTAATTAAAAGAGATTAAACTAAATCAATCAATCATAACAATAATATTAATGACAAAATTATAATGGATAATAACTTATTAGGTGATAAACATTACGAATTATGGTCAAAATGAGTTGATGATGATGATGAACAATTTAGATTGATCGTTGAGAGCGTTGATTAGATTGATTCTTATTACAATATTGTTAATGATGTTAAGCTACTAATTAGATTTGACTTTCTCTCTCTCTCTCTCTCTCTGAAAGTTAATCTACACAAGATGAAAAAGAGAATATTTTCATTTTCTATTCTCTTTTAGTTTCATTATGTCTATTCACTAATGATGGTTACTCTTTTTTTCACCATGAGTGTTTTCACTTGGTAATGTTAACAGTAAACATTAACAATCACAAATGAAGTTAATGTTTAACTAGAACAAAAATCAGATGAGATTGTGTCAACTGTAATGATTATAATAAACATTGAGTGGTTAATTTGTTACAATTAACAACCAGTACACATACGAAAAGGTTGTATGTTAAATGGTTAACATTTTTACTGCCTATGGAATAACATTAAGTTCAACCAAAGTTTCAGTGAAAAGAAAAAAAAAGTTTCTCCAAGAGATAGAAATAAAGGTTTATCTCTATCAGTTCAGGAGACAATTTCTTAAGATTAAAGTGAAAATAAACGTGATTCAAGAGTAATTAGTTAAACCTGATACAAATTACTAAACTAAATTAATGTGACAATGGAAAACAATCAAAGTAGAGAAGAAGATCCAAAGAGATTGACATCCTTTGGATTATGCACAATGTAGATGATCATTGGAACACTTAACAGAATTAAAACAATCAATAGATGAGGATTAGAAGATGAGGTAGTCAATAAGTAAGCATATTCTCGATTAAGATTGTATTAGAGATACTAAAGGAAGAGAGAAAAAGAATTTGTGTGTAAGAAAGAAAAAAAATAAGAGAGAAAAGTATGATGGATACACAAAAAGAGAAGAAAAAATGTAGAATAGAATAGAACTTACCTTTAGCTTTGGAGAATGTTATTAGATTAGAAGATTGTTGCAAGTTAATAAGAAATTGATGAGAGAATATGGAAACAAATTGGTCAATATAAAATGTATTAAGGGTCAATTAATTAATTGCTTCCTTTCAGGCACTTAAACAAGAGAACACAAATAAATAGAATCCAAAATGGCGACCCAAGTGATTTTCCAAAAAAAATCTCATGTTATGTTTTCGGTATTAGGTAACAAGAGATTATCTTTTTTTCACCGATTTACTTTACTAATTACACAGTTTTTTCACCTTAATCTGTAGTCCGGATAATCCTTTCAACAAGTAATTGATATTCTATAAGAAAAATGTCAATAAGTATAAATAAGAATTTAAAAGAAAATCTCAGCCAAGACAATTAATTGAATTTCTTTTAACCAAACAAAAGGGAATCTTAATCAACACATGTAACCCTTTCGTTGCCCTTGGTTACCCCGATCACATGGTTAACCTTTTGTTTTAGAAAAGAAAAAAATTTTTAATTTCTCCCAATTTGTGATTTTCTTTATTATTAATTGTGATTATCTGTGTCTATTTAATTTGGTGAACAATTAACAATTTGTTCTCAGTTAAAATTCTCATTGAGATGATTCAATTCTCATTGGAAATGATTCAGTTTCTATTTCTTTGTTTTCCTTTTTTGTTGTTTTCTATTATTTTCTTTCCAATTTTGATTATTCTTTTTCCTTATTCTCTCTCTCTCTCTTGGTTGATTATTAAATGAACAATTTTCAATTAAATAATCAATACAATCAATTTCTCTTTATCATGTTTACCCTGAAAATCTAATGTAAAATACATTTATTTAGTTATAATCTTGAAACTGTTCGTGTTGATTATCATCAAATCTCATTGATCATCAATTTGTGTGTTTATATTGAAGTAAATGTATATGTACATATAGAAATCATCTGATGATAACAATCAATTTTTGGTCAATTGTTTGAATTACTGAAAATTATTGTTTCTATTGATTAGGATTGAACAATTGTTTCTCTCTTTCTCTTTAATATAAGGTTAATCTCGATCCTTTATCTATTATTATTTATATTCCCTTGTATTCTTGTAATATAAATCTCTCTATGTGTTAATCCCTATTTGTTTTTCCTTCTGTCATATAAATGTTACAACTTTAATTGAGGAAAAAAGGATGAGGTAAAATCTATTCTTTTACCATTTGATTGTTTCACCCCTTTCAATACAATATCATCTTTATCATCATTCTCATCATGTTCACCATAATCATCATCATCTTAATTCCCATTGGTAAAACCAAATACAATCGCTATTACAAACTGTCTCAGGTTAGTTAACTGATTGATACATTTTAATAGGAAGATGAGGATAAAGGGAAGAGAGAGGTTAAAGCAAAGAGTAATGAAGTAAGAGAGAGCCCTAGATACGAAAAACTTGGAGTTGTTCTTGTATGACGAAAGAGGGCGCTCTTCAATTTCTCTTTCTTTTTCCTCTTTCTTTTTGAGAAGAAAGTAGTCTTTCTTTTCTCTTTCTTTTATGAATTTCCTCTCTCTTTTTCTCTTTCTTTTCTCTTTCTTTTTAGAAAAATTGTTGTCAACTTTCATCTCAAAAAGAAAGAGATAAAAGAAAGAGAAATTGAAGAGCGCCCTCTTTCGTCTTACAAGAGCGACTCCAACTCTTTTTGAGATAAAAGTTATCAAAAATTTTTCTAAAAAGAAAGAGGAAAAAGAAAGAGAAATGGAAAAGCGCCTTCTTTCGCCATACAAGAAAACCTTTTGTTTTGATTATGATGTTTTTCATGTACTGCAGCCTCTTATTACTACTCTTTGGGTTAAAGTTTAATCAGCAATGGATAAGCTTTAATGTTTATCTTCATCATCTTTATCATCTTCATCATCATCATCATCAGTCTTTTGTTGATTTAAGATTGAAAAAGAAACAAGAATCAATATTTATTCAAACGATAAACAACAAATACAGAAACTCAGCTTACCTTTTATATATTCATATACATTTTATATTATTACAATAACAACGACGATGAAGATAATGATGATGAAGAGAAAGAGAGAGAGTGAGAAAGTGATAAAATTAGAAAAAAGTTTCAATTCTATTCTGAATATAATATATCACTCATGAGAGTTAATTTAGTTTGATAAAATATTTACCAAAAGTCATCAATACAAATTGTCCATTGGTGTCAATCATTATCACCTTGTTTACTTAACTTCTCATTATCTTTGAAAGATAATCAACCAGAAAATGATTACATTCATCAATTAATCATTTCCAAATTGTTATCATGGTATAATTTAGATTATGCTATCGACAATTAATCCAACAATTAACGTTTCAGCTTTTCCATTGATTTTAACTGTACATCTTTCTACATGTTGATTGATTCAACTCTTCAAATCTCTCATCAATGTTGACAATTTGTTTCCATGGAAATAAATTCAGTTATAATAATTTGTTTACTCTTACTATTTTTCTCTTACCCATAACAATGACAATCTTCACAATTGATTGATAATCTAATAACTGGATTAAATAACTGAGATGATTGGGTCTCCACAATCAACCTTTTCCACCTCCCTATACCCACCTCGATCCTTGACAATTGTAGTAGTTGTATTAACCGATAACTAAATTAAATCAAACTGTAAATGGTTCACTATTTGTATATTTGATTGTTACTATTAAATCATATTAGACAATTATTTATACAAAAAAAAGGGTAAATCAACTTGGATTAGTTTAGAGATGACAATAAGTAAATATATTCATTAATTTTGACAACAATCAACTCAATTGGAATCAATTTCTATCCATCTATTAATTTAGCTGATTAAAATGCATATTAAACATTTTCTTGGTGGTTAAATTGATTGCAATTGAATTGTTAATGATCAAGTAATCATGATAATCAACTAGATTCATCCAATTGGGCGGGTAAATTGCAAATGGGTGTAACTGTTTTCTTATTGAAATTTTCTTAGATTCCTGATTGTATTATCATCATGATCATCATTCCGATAATCATGAAAATATCCTGATAGTTTTTATTTCCATGTAACATTTCAAATGCATTTCTACTTGAATTTAACTTCATCTCTCTCTCTCTCTCTCTCTCTCTCTCTCTCTCTGTGAATAAATAGTTAGAGATGTAAAAGGATTTGATACAAGAAAATTTGCATAATTACAGAGAGTGAGATGGGAGAGCCCGGGAGGAAGATGAGGATGATGATGGAAAGATACAAAAATGATGAAACAGTGGAAAAAAAGTCATGATATGAAAATGAATTGAATATTATATGTGACCAGAAAAAGGAAAATATCTATTCATTGAATTTCGAGAATTGGTAAAACCTAAGGTTACATTGGAAATG